AAATCTTTGAACAAAGATACCTCAGCAACCACTAAGTCAAACTTGATAAACTTTTTTATTTTAATTCTATGGATTAAAATCAAAAAAGGTTCATCGAATTTATATATTTTAATGCCAAGAAGCTATAAATAGACTCCGAAATATTCCGAAAACTTATAAACATTCCGAAAAATTTCCATGCGCATTTTCATGCGCATGAAATTTGATTTGCACATCACTAGCTGTGATAATTATAACAAATAATAGTTGTGGTGGTTAAGATGGCAGTGCTACTAGTTTAAATTTAAATATTTGAGTATACCAAAGGCAAATTAGACTTTTAGCTTTCAAGTTAATTATTTATTGTTATCGGATTCAGCTCTAGTTTTCCCTAGATGCTACCTATTTATTACCATTACTGTCAATGGTGCTTTATGAAAAGTCTCTCTAAATGCATGTCTTTATTTAGGCTCATTATTACTAATGAATACTTTTTGATATGTGACTAATTAAATCATTCACAACTCTTTTAAGAATATACTTCATTAATGGTAGTATGTACTGTACTTTAGCTCAATATGAAGTAGATATTATTATTTTGGGAAGTTTCAAGAACACGGAACCCAGTGATGATCACGAATTATCCCCTCGATATAATCACATATTAATTTTGATTGGTCGGAAAAATGTAAACAAATGTCAGGTGACAACTTCTAATAGCGATTTTTAAAAATTTTTGGGGCCTTTTTTGTTAGCGTTTTTTTTATAGTTAAGTTAGGATTTAGGGTTAGAGTTATTGGCAAAAGAGTATAGGTGGATTTTGGTAGGGCTTATATTTTCAAATTGAGACCCCCAAATTTCACGATGATCCGATTTCACCATGATCCGTTGGGGGGTGCGATCAACCGATAAAATCAAAATTTATATCAAATTTTATATTGTAACATTTTCTAGCAAAATTGATCTGCATCTCACAATATAATAAATACATATAAAAAAATGGTCAGGTATTTTTAGATATTTGGCGTATACAACGACTTGTCTTTACCTTTTTTATATATGAATTCATTCGTAAGTGTAACATCAACAACTTTACGTTATTTATTTTTATATTTTAAATCCGGTTTTTGAGAAAAAATACCTGTACGATCTTCAACTTAAAATTTCTAATCGATATTAAAGTTTGTCGTCTTTTTGTGGATACTAGTAAGGTTTTAAATATACCAAGGTAAAATATGATAACATAACTTTGTTTTATTGGTTCAAAATTCGTCTCTATCAAGAATTTACCTTTATATGATGCATATTTCAAATCACATATCTAAATAAGGTTTGGGTTTAAAGGATGGGAATGTATCGTTCGAATAAACGTCGGTTCCAAGCAAAACAAGCTGCCCAAAAAAGTGTGGAAAGTTGACAGGAAGCCCGTAAAAGGTGTAAACTGCAAGAAATTAATGAACAATTAAATGATATAGATTATAAACAATTGAAGTTTACTGGTCAAATGATAAAAAAATTCAACGAATCAACTGTATTAGAAAAAAAGCATTCTATCTTAATTTCTGAGATTGAACAATTACCTTCAAAGCAAATAACTGCTACCACCCATTTGTTTGAAAAAATGCGTTATTCGCAAGGTTCTAATAAGGGCGAAATTTTGTCACCTCATCTTCAAATTAAAGCTTTAAATTATATTGATCAAAATTTTTATAAGCGTAACTCTTCAATTGAAACATTACAAGTAATGAATCATCAGTTAAAGCTAGATAACAAAAGGCTTAATCAAAAAAATAGCAAGTTGATCTCCAAAATGAAATTACTAGGGTCAATTAAAAGGCACTTGCATGATCAAAAAGTTCACCATATTTCTCAAATCCGTTCATTAGTTAGAACATATTCTATGTTACCTGATGCATTTAAAGAGCAAGTAAAAAAGCTTTTTAAAATTAATGAACGAGTATATTCTTCGAATACAGTTTGGTTGGCATCATGAATTTCACAAGTAGGACAAGTGTCAATTCGATCTACAACTGAGTGTATGAAGTTGATATATGAATTTTTAGTTGGTGAACCTCCGAAACAATGGTTTTCTAATTCTACTTTAGCAACATGGCATAAGGATATTTCGCAAATTCAAGTTAATAAACTTATATCCTATGCACAAAAGGTACCAAGTTATGGAATAATGATAGACGAATCTACTAGAGGTGGAACAAAACACTTTGTTATGTGTTTAATGTTTTGGGATTCTGATAAAAATTTTCCGGTTGCTCAAATGACACATCTTAAAGATATTAAATGCTGTAATGGTGAAACAGTTGCAAAGACGGTTATAGAAATAATTCAAGCATCCCATTTAGATATTCAAAATTGTTTGGTATGGTTAACTGACAATACCGCATATCTAACCGGCAAGGATAAAGGGGCTATTTCATTATTTACAAAATGGGCAAGCACTTTAACAGTTCGAATTGGATGTAGCTTACATATTTTACATATAATTTTAACAAATTTCGAAAATGAAGCTTTTGGAAAACTTCCATCTGCTATTGGATTTCAAAAAACAAAACATCCGGCTATGCTTCTTATGCTCGCTTGGAATTTACACAGTGGTTATAATTCATCGGACAAAGACCAACCAATTGGAATAACATCAGAAATAATTAATAATTTATATGATTCCTATCTTGGGTTTCATTATAGTAAATATCAATATCCACTTCGTACTCGTTGGGAATATGAATTAATTGCCGCTAAACAGTATTTAGAATGGTATGAAGCACATGTTAAATTTGTACCATGGTTTATTACTATGCTTGAAAAGCGCAAGAGTCCTCCAAAATTATATTTAGAAAAATGGAAACTACTTAATTCCTGGTTATTGGATTCGATTCTTAATATACAAATTAAAATACTAGTTCGATTTGGGACTTGCTTCTATGAGCCTTTAATGCAGTTTTTTACTGGACAAGATCCGATTCCACGAATTTTTACTGGAAATATATTAGAGAAATTACCGCCTGGTAGACGGGCACATAAGATGCCAAGCAAGACAAATGAATGGTTAAATTACTTAGTCGAAATGAAAAATAATTACTGTATGTTTTTTGTTGATGAGTTAAATGAAGCTCTTAGTTCATTAAATGAGAATGAGTTTAGAAAAATTATTCAAGATTTAGAATGTGGACTAGAAAAAGCGATTGAACATTATAAAAAGTGAATGTTGCCATGGTATCATTTACCACTATCGATTTGTAATTTGGGAGGTAATTCGAGTCAGTCTTTTGCTTGTGCTCTTTTTTATGTGGTTTTAGGAAATACTTGGTTAAAACCTCCAACAGAACAAGAAATTACTTATGCAAATCAGCTAAAAGAAGATTTTAAAATTAAAAATTACAGTGATTTTGGATTATCTAAAAAAATTACTGACGATGTAGATTTTAGACGTGAATTTGAAACCTATTGTATTACAGAAAATCCAATATTACATACATTTTCACAAATTTATGAGTTCGTTAAAACCCATATATATTTTATAGTAATACATCAACAACAAGTTGAAGGGTTGTTTAACAAACTCGATATCAAGACTAATTCTAGTATGACATCTAAACTTAAAGAATCAAGATTACGATTATCTTCATGGACAATTAATAAAGAAAATATTAATAGTAGCTTAAAAGAGATTCGAAAAGAAAAAAGAAAAGTATTAGCTGAAAACAGCAAACGATTCAACAAATAGATGCAGAACATCTATTCTGGCAACTTCTTCCTGAATAATTAGTGTTGATGTATTTTTTTTAGCTCTTTAGCAACCATATTGTTTTTTTTTTCAATCATGTATTGTTTTTTTTTTAACTATATATATATTTTTCAATTTTTTTATTGTTAAAATATATATATATATGCGCTTGATGTTGGGCAGTTTAAATGCTTATAACGACTATATAATAGTATATAATAAAAAATTGATCTGCATAAAATGTGACACAAAAAATTTACTTATAAAATTTGATAAATATCCATACATAGTTTTGATTTTGTTAGTTGAACGCACCCCCAATAAAACGTGTTTTCATATTGATTAAATATACTGTATTAAAAATGAAGGTATATATTTTTAAATAAAAAGGAGTAATAATGATTTCATTAGCATAATTTTCTGGAACAAAGCGAAAAACTCACATTTCTATTGCTTTAATCACCAAAATTAAATTTTTGGTGCATTACTAATGGGTTTACTAATTTCCCCCAAGTTCCTATTGGTTGAGCCTTCTCATTGGATGAAATACATCACTAAGTAGTTAATGTAGTCATCATTACGCGCCGCACTACCACTTCGAATTATCGCTTTGCAAATTTAATTTATTTTCGTAAAAATTTATTCATAATTTTTTTCTCAATTAATTTATTGTTCGTAATTAATTTATTTTTCGTATAATTAATTTATTGTTCGTAATTAAATTATTGTTCGTAATTAATTTATTGTTCGTAATTAATTTATTTTTCGTATAATTAATTTATTGTTCGTAATTAATTTATTGTTCGTAATTAATGTATTGTTCGTAATTAATTTATTGTTCGTAATTAATTTATTTTTCGTATAATTAATTTATTGTTCGTAATTAATTTATTGTTCGTAATTAATGTATTTTTCGTAAAAATTTATTTTTGTAATTAATTTTTCGTAATTAATTTTTCATAATTAATTTATTGTTCGTAATTAATTTATTTTTCATATAATTAATTTATTTTTCATAATTAATTTATTTTTCGTAATTAATTTATTTCGTAATTATTATTATTCATTTTTTAATATTTTCTTATTATCTTCAATACTAACGTTTAGCGATTCTCTTCAATTCAGCAATTTTTCGTGATCAATTTTAACATCCTGAAAGCTCCTTTTTAATAAATAAAATTCTTACAAATTTTATCAAACATTATAATATCCATTGAACCATGTAAAATTATTGAAATAAATACTATTTAATATGTCAATTTCGCTTAATATCGATGATATTTTCGATATTGATGAAGACGTCGATATGGACATAAGCGATAATGAGCTTGATAACACGCTTGACTGTGTTCTAGATGCAACAGACAGTGTCGGTCAAGCATGGGAAATTGCTGATGATGATACAGAAGAATCCTCAGAAAAAGAAAAGGTGAAAACCTATTATTTTTCAGTAAATGAATATGAAAGATAGATCAAGGATCTTGAAAAAGCGGGCCTTAGTTATTGTTGACACGATCATCAAGCTAGTTTAGGAGCAAAGAGGAAAAACATGTGGAGTGAAAGATAGCATTGCTATCGTTATGGATTCTATACAAGTGTTGCTGAAAAAGACATTAATAAAAAGCCATGATTGGCACAAAAAGACTCGAAAAAATGCGGGTGCAAAAGCTATATTCAAGTTGTGCTTCCCGTTAACTCGACGATGGTAACTTTAAAGTACTATTATAAATATCATAATCATTACCTGGGTAAACTGTCAGATTTATGTACATTACCTCTTTCTGAAAACATTTGACAGTTTATCCAACAGCGTGCTTTGGAAGGGCTGAACGTTTTTAGAATATAAAAGCTTATGCGATATCAAATAATCGAATTGCAAAATCAGATTTTTTTTTTAATTATCATCATTTTAAATTATATTTTATTAATTTATATATATATTTTTTTTATTACAGTATTTATTTTTAATTTTCATTTATTATTTATATATCTATTATTCTATTTTTATTATTCTTTTATTTTTTAAATTTATTATTATTATTAAATTAATTTTATAAATTTTTTTATTTTTTTTTAGGTCTGTTTACTTGATACTGAAGGCTATTCGCAGAATGTACAAATGCTTCATGATGGGTTAATAACGCGAGACGATATATATGTGATTATTTATAATACGTTAAAGGCATTCTCTGTTTTTGATAAAGACGAAACCGGTTCTTTGGAAATGTGAAAGGATAAGATAATTAGCAAAGATGGGGTTTGTTCATTCAGAAAACATAACGAAGCAGATGATATCAGGTTCATGTTTATGTTCCAAACCAAGGAACAAAAAGAACTAATAGAGTTCGCAAGGGTTGTATGTTTGGACGAAACCTATAGAACAAATCATTATGGATATTATCTATTCATGCTTGTTATAAGGTATCCAATAGTGGGTAGCGGGCACCCAGTCGCGTTCTTGATAAGTGAATTTAAACGAACATTAACATTGATAGAATGGTTTGATTTTTTGAAAAATGAAAATGAAAGATGGAGGCCGGATATATTTATGGTCGACAATGTGGAAGAAGAAATTAAAACATCTCAAGATAGTTTCCCTGATAGTTCTGTGTTTTTATGCTATTTCTATGTGTTGCAGTCTTGGCGTAGAAAACTTTGCTATAAACATGGCACAAATAATGAACTATCAAAGAAAACAGTTTGGGAGGATCTCTATAAGTTGCTAAAAGTGGAAGAATAGTTTGACACAAACATCCAAGAACAGATTGTAGGCACAATTAACTGTTGGAGAGAAATGAGAATCGATGTGATTAATAATTTTGCTAATTATTTCAAATGCTGGTAGAAGCCAAAATACGAAATGTGGATAATTTGTATAAGAGAAGCTTCGAGGGATATGATGGATACGAATAACTTAATTGAATCGTTCTATTGTAAACTAAAATATACCTACATGAAGAGGTGACCAGACAAGTGTTAAATTTTATTAACTACTTTTTTTTCTTTATGATTGTTTTTTTATTTCTTATTTTTTATAATCTTTTTTTTTTCTTATTTTTA